GATTTACATACACAACTGGTCATATCAATATATACACCTTGTTGAAAATCTTAAAGAGATGTTAAGTTTTAAATTTCCAATATGAGTTTCTCATTTTTTAAATTCTAAAGGGAATCTATCTCTCTTGTTTTGTAATCATATTGCGATCACTCTTATTTACTTCAAAAGTAGACTTTTTTTTAAATTGAAATAAAGCTGACTCGCGTTTTTTGTCAAAATTTGATTTGAAAAACCTAATTTTATTTGCACAATCAGAAAGATAATTGTCATTTGCGCAATTGAATCAATCCGAATCGGTTTCAATAGTTTAAAAAGTATGGATTTACTAAAATCAAGTACAAAATACTTACACAGCCCATGTACGGTTTCTTCAAATTACAAAGAGACCAGAGACAGAATATTTCGGAAATTTTAAATCAGAATAGAATACCAAACCAATAACTGTAGGAATACGTTTCTATAAGTATGGCTCTAAATGGGAGGACAAAAGATTCTGGGTTTCTATATTGAAAATCCAGAAACAAAAATATGTACTTATATTTAAATTGGATTCGAATAAATATGGCGCCAATAGGTGTTAACATATTTATTTATCCAGAAGGCAATTAGTACGATATTAGATGATGATATCAGTATTGAACTGTTAGAGAGTTTTGACTGAATACTCTCCTAGAGGAAAGCATTACATCATACGGGCACCAGGTGAAGGGGGAACTCGAGGCATTGAACCTGACGTAAGCAAAACCGTTCGACGCGGCGAGAGCGGAATTAAAAATATGGTCGAAAATATTCCATAAGGACACTTGAAATAATGAAACCGTTTGTAAACCCACAAAGATCCTATGGAGTAGCACTAGCGAGAGCAATACCAGAAGCCTCCTCAGCAAGTCCGATGTTAGTATGGTGGTACGCAGAAAAGAGGCTCTTAAGTTGTATTCAATCAAAAATGACAATTTTGTAACACGAGAACATGGTCCTGTGGAAAGGGGTTGGTCTCTTGTTAAAAAACAATTAAAGCATACAGGAAAAGTGTCCCAGAACGCGTCCGTTTTTTAGCGTAAGTAGACCATCTCCTCTAAAATGCAAGGAAATCAAGTATACATTTGTAATGGGAGCATTTTCGGAACAAGTGGATTAATTCATAAATACCGAGTAATACACAAAAAATACGAATACAAGTAAAAAGTACTTAAAAATTAATCCCGATGAGCACCCATTAATACAAAGTTATAGTACAAAATCATAAAATAACAGCTGATCACTTCAGATTTCCATTCAAAAAAATCCATTTTTGTTCTCAATAAGATATAACACTTGATCAATCCTATTAGAAACTTCATGCTACAACACCGATTCCTTAAATTTTTCATCAAAAATCAATGTTTGTGCTCAATAAGATTATAGGATTTGTGTTAAATCCTAGTAGAAAATTTTAACTCGACGTCTGGAGTTCAATTTTCAAAGAATAACAGCAGATTTTAATTTTTCATCAAAAATCCTATTAGAAAATTTATACTCTCACCAACATTCTTCAATTTTCTATAAAGAAATCTATTTTGTGCTCAATAATAAAAAGAAACACCTGTTTAATCCTATTAGAAAATTCAAACTCCAACTGTCATTCTATAAACAAACCAATTACTGTAACTAATTCAACACACTTTGCCCACACACACACAGAGTTGTATTTTATAAACACTTGCTTAACATAACTCACCACCAGTACTCTATGAAGCAACTCTGTATGAGGATTTAACTAAAATATCTTGAAGATTTTTTTTAATACGGCCATTTAGTTAAGATGGCGATTCGGAAATGTTCACACGCAAACTAAATACATTAGAGATTTATTAAATTACGGTTAAACTGTAAAAGAAATAAATTGTAAAATAAATTTAATAATAAAAGGAATGGAAATCAAAATTTATTGATTGTTTTTGCTAAACAAAATATATTGTAAAATATAGTGAATTTATTATGTATAAATAATAAAAAAGTGTTTTAATTTTACTCAATGTGTGCTAATAAAATATGTTCAGTGTTTAGTTAAATAATTAAATTAATATAGCAAAAATTGTAAATGAAAAAGAGAGAAGAAAAAAATTAAAGGAAAATTTTTACAAGGTGTGTTTATAATTTCCAAGTAAATGGCAAATGATTAACAAGAAATAGTTAAGTGAAACAAGCCAAAAGCGAAAAAAAAACATAAAAAAATAAATAAATTTTATAGTAAAAAAAGAAGAACCACATACAATACAACAACAACAACAAAAGAGAAATACTACATAATAAAATTTATATAAAAAAGTTTTAAGAAAAATACAATAAAAAGTTGTTTACGTGATAAAGTGAGGTGTATTAAAACATGCGGTAAAGAGAGAGGAAGTTAACAGAAGAAAAAAAAAAAACTTAAGAAAGCGGCGAATACTAGTATAGTGGGCAATAATAGTAACAACAACGGATACAACGCTTACAGCAACAACAACAACATCAATAAAAGGTAAATAATGAAATACAATACCGTACAAAAAAAAAAGCTCATTGAGAAAAAATTATCATCATCATTATGATGTTTAAAACATCATTATACGAATGCTCATACACTAAGCAACAACAATATACAAACAAAACTAAACGTGTTGTGTGTGAATAGTTGTTGTTATTGCTTTTTGTATTTTTCTGTGACGAGTTGTTTGGTTGGAAGAGATATAAAATTCCTGGAATTTTGTTTTGATTAAGATATTTCTTGAGAATTTTATACAAAAAGCGAAACGTAAAAGAGGAGGAATAACAAAAAAAAAAAAACATTCAAAAACATAATGAGAATGAGAACACTACAAAACTCACATGCACAGAGAACAACACAAAAGGAATAAGTACAATGATGAAAAACAAGAAACCAAATTTTAATTGAAGATTCTACGTAAAAATAAATCATTAAAATAAAGAAAGAAATATAAAATCAAGTTATGAATATGAGTGCGTAATGAAAGTAATTCTCAATAACTTTAAAAATTTATAAGGAATTTTATAAAATTGCTTTTTGATTTGAAATTGTAAGAAATCAAATTATCGACCAGTAGTAAAGGAGATGTAGTTTCAAGGAAAATTCGATTTGGAATGTTGTGGAAATTTAGTTTAATGTGAAAAGATATTGTATAGGTATAACATCTGACACCGAGGTCTCTATTAAACTTGTTGTGTATTCCATTTTATGGCTATCGATCTATGAAAGGAATTATGGTCCAATGTTCAGTTTCCCCAGAATGAGTTCTTTAGAATTTTCCAAACAATGTTTCTGGTAATGTATCTGGAAAAATGTCGTTTCCCAGATATCTAGATATAATTACGTCGAAAGCCTTATACCGTTCGTCAAAGCAGTAATCGTCCAATGTTTAGAAACTCAGTTTCCCCGACGTAGTTCTTTAGAATGTTATAAACAGTGTTACTTAGGGATGCAATATCTGGAAAAATTTCGCTCCCCAGATATCTGGATATAATTTCGCCGAAAACCTGTCAAAGGAATAATCGTCCAATGTTAAGAAACTCACTTTCCTCAGACTGAGTTCTTTAGAATTCTCCCAACAGAGTTCCTTAAAGATGTAATATCAGGAAAAACTTCAATCCACAGATATCTAGATATAATTTCGTCGAAAGCCTGAATCCGTTCGTCATAGGAATAATGGTCTAATATTCAGAAACATGCAATCAGTGTTCTTTACGGTAGTAATATCCGGAAAATCTTCGCTCCCCAGATTTCAATTTATGTTCTGAATGCGTTCAGCCAATTTTGTACAAATGTGCGCGTAGTCTAAGAATAAGTACCGTTATACAAACCTCTGACTTATGCATTATTATTAGGCATCTCATCCTGCTCTTGTTATGGTAGTTTGCCCACGCGCCGTTATATTACTCCTAGTGGTCGTAGTCCGCACTTTCAAATTTCAATACCATAATTTTCCTCTTTTCTCGCCTTTCCAACAAAATACCAAACTTCAAAACCCCACTTTCTCTGTTCTTTTATCAACCTACATACAACATTTCCTTTGAAATACAAATTTCTTTATAAGTAATTTGCAAATTTAGATTTATTGCTAATGGCAAATATTGTTTTGATTTTTTATTGAGAAATTGTAATATTTGTTCAAATAATATTTTCCTGTTAAAATGTCTTTTTTTGTATAAAATTCTAGATAAATTCTACTTATTGTGTTATATGTATATTTTCAAAAAGTTTTTCCATGGAAATGTACAGATAAAAACTATGTAGAAGAATGTAAATTTAATTAAAAATAATAACAAAAAATTGTTTTTAACGCAAAAATACCGTATGAAAACATTGATTTCTGAGAGAGAAATACCCTACGTTTTGTCCGACTACATAATTTTATATTAAAGCAGAGATTATGAGCGGTTGGAAAACTCATGTATATCGAGATGTACGTGAAGTGCCAATAAGCATAAGATGTCGGTATCATCTGAATGTTTTTCCTGGACATTTAAATTAATAAAATTCAGTTCAAATACACATCGATATTGAGAAAACCTTGCTAATGACCTATTGTTCTTTGTATGTGATTCGATCTGAAGTCGAACTGCCGATCTCTTTCTCTGCGTAGAAAGTATTTATATATCTGCAACCGATGCAAAAGAGAAAAGAAACTGTTGGTAATCCCTCAGGGTCTATAGACCCCAAAACACTCGAAAATTAATTAAACAAAGTTGATCATAAAGCTATTTCAAAAGTTCAATTTCAAAGACCTTTTTATTGATTTGAAGATACTGGAAGTGTTAAAATCGGAGTGCAAAGAAACCGTGTAGTATCGGTCGAGTGATCCCACTGCTAAAACCAGTGGAAAATGCGAGCCAGGGAGAATCATGTAGAGCGATCTCTCTGTTATCACCTGTATCGAAAACACTCGAGACTCTTCTTCCCCCCACACTGACACAACTTATTATAAGGATTAAAGCAACAAAAACCCTATGATAGAACGGACCTTGTGGCATAGGATCTATCAAGAGCCTTTGATACTATTAGCCATGTCACACCCTTCGAGAATATACCTACATATACCAGTCCTCCATGCCAAACATTACGAAGAGATGGATCGTAAACTATTGATTGACTCAAACCCCCTTGGAATTAAACTATAGGTTCCTCAAGGCGGGGTCATGTCGCCTCTCTCTGTTTAATTTGTACCGTTCTAAACTACATGAACCTGCGCATGGTGTAGATGTGATTTCGCACGTGGACGACTGCACCATTATGGAAACAGGCCACAACATTGGTGACTTAAGAAGATTGCTAAACAACCACGTCTGAGTCATCTACAATTTCTTCATTGGACGTAATCTGAAGTTGTCTCCAAATTATCCTATGCAATTCGTTACACCACCTGAACGAAGGAAGTACGGCTAGAGCAAAATCTAGAAGTAGATGGCGTCAGAGTGCCGACACTAACTTATCAGAAAATGTTGGGTATAACGTTTGATAGTCTCTTCACTGCCTCCGCTCATGCCACTGCAATCTCGCACAAACTTCGATGTTGGAATAAGGTACTAAAAGCGCTTGCCGGCAGCACTTGGGGTATGGACAAAGAAACCTTGTTGGTCAATTATTGATCTATACACCTTAACATGTGCTCACACATGACGCACTCCATCTTGATTTTGATTTCAGAGCCAATCCCGCCCCACTCAATCCTGTAAACCTATGGATTCATCCTGTTGAGGTTTGCACAACATCTTGTCCTTTATCTCAACGATGTAGAACCATAGTTTTTTAAAATTTGGTTGTAATCGAGGCCACAAAAACAACAAAATCACCGATCATATTACTATTTGGATCATCAGGGAGATGTTTCTTAATCAACAATGAATCTTGATGTTGGAAAATTATCAACAACTTAATGACAAATGAAGAAATGAGGTTGGAAACTCATTAATGTTTAGATGCCACAACACATTTCATTACTTAGGGACAAAAAAGTGAGGCAAGTCATTGTTAAAAGGGGCGTGGTGATCTTATTAAACTTCAGAGTTTAGAGAATACATTAAAGCAAAGATTATACTGTTATAAACGAAATACTCTGGGAATATTATATCTGTGGTTGGCTGTTATTGGAACCTTTAATAGTGGAACATGTACGTTTGTATATACTAAGCATAATAAGTTTCAAAGTTTTGCAAAAATTAATTATAAAACCTTCGTAATTAAGCGTATAAAAAGAGCGAAAAAAAACGCTCAACAATTGTTTTATTATTTTTTAATTAAATAAAATCAAATTTGCTAAAATGCAAAGTTATTTTGTTTATTTATGCAAAACTGATTTTTTTATAAATTCATTTAAAAAAATACGCAATATAATTAAAATATGCAAAGTGGGCTTGTTGTTATTGTTGACATTATTTAAGTGGTTTAAACCAGATTATTATAATTTTTTCAGCGATTTTTTTTTTTGTTTAATGCAATAAAAATTTAATTATAGCCAACAGTTATTTAAAATTCACAATTCTACACATTATTTTTTTTTTTAGTTTAAAATTCCTATGAATTCTTTACGATCTTGTTTTTTTGAAATATTATTAAAAGTCATCATCATCTTTGCCATTTAAAAATTCAGTTTTAAATTTGTTGTTTTAGCACCTTGTAGTTAAATAAGTGGTAAGACATAGGGGCTACAACAATAACAATAATAAAAAATCAAATAAGAAAATACCAAGAAGTTATTATTTTGAAAATAATGTTGCTTCAAAGAAATTGGTGTTAACAATATTTGTTTACTTGCAAATAAAGAAGAAGAAGTAGAAAAAAACAGACGAGAAGAGAGCACAGCAGAGGAAAAAAATTAAAAGAAAACCAATTTTATTGACGCACGAAAATTGTACATATAAAATTACAAACAACTGGCTGGCTGGCAAATTCATTCAACCATCAATCTTTTCATCAAACCAAACGTCCATCCATATACATTCATCTAACTTAGTATACATCCATCCACATTTATCCAACTAACCAGCTAACTACAGCTAAAAGCAAGTAACTAACATATCTACTACCTACCAGGCAACCAACCAACCAACCATCTATCCAACCAACCGGCCAACAACAATAAACGAATAATATAACCAAAAGTTCCAAGAAACGCATTTCTAATTTAGACCGAATTCTCAGAAGTGACAAGACAAGAGTCGGTGGTGGTAACAGCACTCACAAAACAAAATGAAACGAAAAACAAGTAAGAAAGTTATAGTCGGTCAAGCCCGACCATATAATACCCTACACCACAGTTTATTTCGCGGAATAATTAGTTTCCTTCTAAGTTTTTAATTTATTATTTCAAAAATTAAGAAGTACTTAAGCCCTCCCGCCACGCCACGGCTTATTCCAAGGGAGAGTAAATATGGTATTTCACATATTCGATGTCTGTAAATAAATAAGCAATTGTTGAACTTTGTTGTTTCTAAGTTATTAGAAAGAAAAGTAAAATCAATTTGAAA